AGGAAGAAGGAGCTGTATCAGGGGCTGGCAGTGAAGCAGTGCAGGTAGAAGCATGTAATTCCCTAAGGCCAAGGGTAGGGCCAGAAGTGAGAGAGAATAAACAGAGGCTGTATCTAGGTCCCATGCCACGGGAAGGAGTTTGTACTGTACTCTGAACATTCTGTGGGGCTCTTGCAAGCTTTCTTTCTGTTTAAAAGAATATGTATATATATATACACACACAAACATATATGAATATAGCTACATATGTGTAATACATATATTTCTTTATTTTAATAGCTTCCCAGTGCAAATCGGCTCAGTTTTAGTTTAAACTATATTGCTGAAAATGAGAGAAAGAGACAGAAATAAGTTCTGTCAAAGATTCACAGTGTGTATCAAAATATACATTTATATGTATTATATATATTTTTTCATTTCAGTGGCTTTTGGGGGAAAAGTGGTTTTTTGGTACATGGATGAATTGTACAGTAGGGAAGTCTGAGATCTTAGTGCGTCCCTCACCCAAGCAGTGTACATTGTACCCAGTATGTAGGCTTTTTTAAGCCCTCCCTCCCTACCCAGCCGCCCTCCCTCCCTACCCAGCTGCCCTCCCTCCCTATCCAGCCGCCCTCCCCTTCTGTCTCCAAAGTCCGTTATATCACTCTGTATGCCTTTGCGCATCCATAGCTTAACTTCCACTTATAAGTGAGAACATGATGGTATTTGGTTTTCTATTCCCAAGTTACTTCACTTAGAACAATGGCCTCTGGCTCCATCCAAGTTGCTGCAAAATACATAATTTTTTTCTTTTTTATGGCTAAGCAGTATTCCATGGTGTATATAGACCATATTTTCTTTATCCACTCCTGGGCATTTAGGTTGGTTCCGCATCTTCGCAAATGTGACATGTGCTGCAATAGACATACACATGCAGTTGTCTTTTTGATGTATTGAATTCTTTTCCTCTGAGTAGACGCCGAGTAGTGGGATTGCTGGATCAAATGGTAGATCTACTTTGAGTTCTTTAAGAAGTCTCCATACTGTTTCACGTAGAGATTGTACTTATTCTTATCAGCAGTATATAAGCATTCCCTTTTCACCACATCCATGCCAATTTTTTTTTTTTTTTTTTTGCAGGAGTAGGGTGATATCTTGTAGTTCTCAGTTGCACTTCCCTGATGATGAGTGATGTTGGGCATTTTTTCATATGTGTTGGTCATTTGTATTTCTTTTGAAAAATGTCTGTTCATGTCATTTGCCTACTTTTTGATGGGATTATTTGTTTTTTTTCTTGCTGATTTATTTGAGTTCCTTGTAAATTCTGAACGCTTGTCCTTTGTTGGATGCATATTTCTTGCAAGCTTTCCAATAGGGCAGGGGACTCAGAACGCATGGCTTTGTCTCAGTTTCTCCACCGTCTTGCTCTTTCCTACCTCAGGGTCATGCTCATGTTAATCCTCTGCCTGAAAAGCCTTTTCTTCTCTTCCTTGTTGGCTTATTTATATCTTTCAGATATCGGCTCTTAAACAAGACCTGCCCTGAACACCCATTCTAAAGTGTTTGCTATTTGTCTCCTTCATATCATTTATACCATTCATAATTTTTTCTTTTTTTGAGATGGAATCTCGCTCTGTCACCCAGGCTGGAGTGTAGTGGCACAATCTCAGCTCATTGCAACCTTTGCCTCCTGGCTTCAAGCGATTCTTCTGCCTCAGCCTCCCAAGTAGCTGGGATTACAGACGCACACCACCGCGCCCGGCTACTTTTTGTATTTTTAGTAGAGGTGAGATTTCACCATGTTGGCCAGGCTGGTATCGAACTCCTGACCTCAAGCGATCCGCCTGCCTCAGGCTCCCAAAGTGCTAGGATTACAGGTGTAAGCCACCGTGTCTGGCCTCCATTTATAATTTCTGAAGTAATTTTTTACATGTTTTTAGCTGTCTCTGTAAACTCCCTGAAGGTGGGGACTATATTTTGAGCCCCTAGCCTGATGTGTGGCACATAGTAGGTACTCAGTATATATCAGTAAATATTTATTGAATAAATGAATAACTCATCAGATTTGCTGCCAGTGAGACAGCCCTGGCCAAAGAGTAGAGAGGGGATTGGAGAGGAAGCCAACAGAGATGATAGAGAGCACAGTTAGGAGGCCTTCCCACCATGCTGGTGAAGTGGGAAGGCCCTGAGCCACAGTCGCAGGAGGGAATGGAGATATACGTAGGGTCAGGAATCACAGAAGCACTGGCTGGATGTGGGTGACTATCAGAGGTAGGAGTCAGAGATGATGCCAAAAAAACTAGATGAATAGCAGATGGTTCATTGAAATAACGGAATTCAAAAGAGTAAGAATGGGTCTTGGGTACAGTAGAAAATGGATTCAGCTTTGGGCATGTTGGGTCTAAGCATACCTGTGGGCTATCTGGGTAGAATGCCCAACAGATACTTAGATTTATGGGTTTGGAACCCAGGAGACTGATCTCAGTAAAAGATAAAGCGTTGAGAGTTGTTGGCCTGTAGATTCATTCATCTACTCATTCGACAGATATTCACTTACTAACCTGCTTTGTCTCAGGCATTAACTATAAAGTGGTAAACAAAAACATTTAATTTTCACAAATATCACAGTCTAGACTGCTAGTTGATGACTTGGAGGTCGATAAAATAACTTAGGAAGTAGATACAGACACCTCCACACACACAGGGAGAGCTGAGCACAAACCCTAGAGAACACCAAGATTTAGGAGGTGGACACAAGAAAAGGGGCAACCAGGAGAGGGTGATAATTTGAATGAATGAATGCAAGGTTGTCCCCAGTTCCCAAGTCCTTGCACCAAACTCAACCTTGGCCTTTAAAATATATTGCTTATTTTTTTGGTGGCAGGATTAAAGTGCATGTGTTTACATTCACCCTATACAGAGATTCATGTTAGTTCATCCTTAAAATAAGGAATTTCAAAGATTGGAACGGAAACAAGTATCAGCCTGCAAGTCAAGTAGCGAAGTTAGTGATGAACAAGAGCTGGAGGCCAACCCAGATTTTCCTATTCATCTATGAACTTCCTTGTTATTGTTCTACGTGTTTTAAGTCAACCTTAATGTACCTTGTGGTTGGATTTCCTTTGCTGTGATCTGTGGGATAAATGTGATGTTGATGGTCTCCCAATAAGAAAGAGATGTTGTGGTCTGTTTTGCCAAGATCTCATTAGAGAATTTTATTGATTTATTAATTTTTTAACCTCTGAATTCTCTTAATCTAAAAGACAGCGTCTTAGGTGCTTACCAAATAAAAGCCAACTAAATACCTGGGTGTGGGTGGTTTTGTGAGGTGAAATTTCTTGAGCACTTTTAAGGCAAAATGTTCCCATTTTATTTCAAAAAGCAGTTTACATTTATTGTATATCCTAAAACTTAGAACTGTTTTATCTCAAATACCATAGATTATGTGTTTGATATAAAAGTTAACTGATATTTTTAAAAATCTCAGTAGAAATTTCTTATGCAAAACTCCAATGTAACCCAAAAAAGACAAGTTTTTTGCAGTCCATTTTCCTCCTCCAAAACATGCAACTTTTTGTTTGTGTTTATGTGTATGACATTTAGTAAATTTATTGGTAGATACAGGTAAACTTGCTTTCCCTTAGTAGTATATGAAATCTAGCTTTTATCAATACATACATTTTGTTTAAGATTGTTATATATTCAGATTGGTTTATTTTCATTTATTGCATTTCTTCAAGGTATGTTTCTTATGTCAAAGAAGAATTATTTCAAAAACCCCTTCAGCCAACAATTTCTTTGACCCAGATTTCAAAACAGGGAAAGACCAAGCTGATCTTGGACAGATCTCTCAACTAGAATCTATCTCTGTGAGATTCATAGAATCAGAAAATTTTAGAGTCAGAGAGGGAAACGACATATAGATTATGTGTTCCTTGTCATGTATAAGTTTTATCTTTCTGAATACATCATAAAATTAAGTGAGTAATCGGCGATTGCCATAATACCAGGTATCATTTTTTTTTTTTGAGACTGAGTCTTGCTCTGTCACTTAGGCTAGAGTGCAGTGGCACGATCTCGGCTAACTACAACCTCCGCCTCCTGGGTTCCAGCAACTCTCCTGCCTCAGCCTCCCGAGTAGCTGGGATTACAGGCACCCACAACTGTGCCTGGCTAATTTTTGTATTTTTAATAGAGACGGGGTTTCACCACATTGGCCAGGCTGGTCTCGAACTCCTGAAGTCGTGATCCACCCACCTTGGCCTCCCAAAGTGCTGGGATTATAGGCATGAGCCACCACACCCAGCTAATAACAGCTGTCTTAAAGGGAATTAATTGCATCCAGCAAAAATGAAGCAAAAGCAGAGTTCAAAGATTAAACAATTTTTCAACCATTGATTTATCTTTTCTCAAAAAAAATCAACTGACACAAAAAATTTGTGTGTGTGTAAATAATCCAAATTTTTATTTGTGCTCAAAAGAATTTGTTTCCCTGTTTTGTGAGTTGAGGCTTGCTTTTTCTATTCTGACTTTTTAAAAATTCACCCTGTGGTGCCTCTAGAAAAGAACATCTTTAAATCTTGTTTCAGTTAAATGAATAGATAACTAATCCCAATCAGATGTTTCTTTAGGGAATAATGTTTAAAAAACTAGTATGGAATGCAGCTCTCCTAGTGATTCTTAGATAGGCTGTTTTTATCCCAATTGCTAAGGTCTTAGAGGTCACCCAAGGTAACTATTTATTTTAAATTGTCTTTTGTTTCAGATTTCCTGTTGAATTTTTTTAACCATTTCAAAAATCAGCCAGTTGTTGTGTCATAGCTTTGCACAACCTTCAGATTCAAACCAAAAATATGTCTGCATAGCTGAATGACTGTGCCCTCCCACATAAACCCTAAGGAGAGCAGAAAATGAGATTAGACACCACATGTTTTAATCATAATGAAACTAATATTTAAAGCTCTGTGGTCAGATGTCTTATATTTATGACACTTTGTTTTCTTTTGTTTTTGTTTCCTCAGGACATTTGGGCTTCCAGGACAGTTTTGTCACATCAGGTGTTTTTAGTGTGACTGAGCTAGTAAGAGTGTCACAGAGTAAGTATAATTTTGCTTTGATTTGTTACAGATTTGCCTTGGTTTGTGCTTACTTTCTGCCTAGGACTACTAGAGACAAAAAAATTTAAAAAAAAAAAGCTTTCAGAATCTCCTTTTCATTCTCCCATTGGAGGAATTTTGCCACACAGTTTGACAACCAAGAATTTAAATCAGGAAAAATTAAATATTACTTTGATGTGAGGCATAAGAGGAAGACCAAAATCCTGAGGGTCTCATATATTCTGAGGCTTCCCTGATTTCTGAGAAATTCTGCATTTTAAAAGAATTTGTTTTTGACCTTTAAAAAATGCTAATGCTGTTAGTATGAGTGACACAGCCTGGGATGATCATTACCAGCTTGTCAATAATCACTAACAGTGAATGAAGAGTACCTGTCACCATCTTGCTCCATTGATTAAAGGCCCAGTCAATTGATTGTAGCTTTTTTATGACATAATTTAGCATGCATGCGCGTGTGCACGCGCGCACACACACACACACACATATACACACACACACAGTTGCCTTCCCTTAAGAATCTCTCTTTGTTCTTATTTAAAAGCATACCTGCAGTGATTACGATATTCCAGGTCCCAGTAAGAAGAAGGAAAAATAAATACCAAATATTAAAATGTTATTTTGTTTTACCACTCCACCTACTTCAAAATATCACTTGTAGGTAAAATTTACATTGTTAAAATTGGTTTTGAGCAGCATCAGCCCTTTGTGGAATGAGCTGGAGTAAAAATAAATATTTTCACTTCAAGTTCATACCCCCCATTCACTGTGTTATAGGCTTGTAAGATTGGCTGAATAAGCCGGCCCATCTCAGGACACGATGTCAGGTCACGCAAGTCAAGCCGTCCTGGTCTCAAAAGCCTGGATTCTGTCTGTTCTTATGTCAGTCACTCATAGGCTAGGAGAGTCTTGAGAGCACAGAATGTGATACACAGTGTGGGAACAGGGGAGAATCTAATGACTATTGGTCATTTACTGTCTGCCAGGCACTGTCCTAGGCCTACATAAATTAATCCTTACAATGTGCTTTTCAGACCAGAAATTACCACCATTTTTAAAGATGAGTTAAATTGAGGATCTATGTAAGTTATTTGTCCAAAGTCAAATAGCGAGGCCAGGCATGGTGGCTCACGCCTGCAATCCCAGCACTTTGGGAGGCCGAGGCAGGTGAATCACTTGAGTTGAGGAGTTTGAGACCAGCCTGGCCAACATGGCGAAACCCCATCTCTACTAAAAATACACAAAAAAATTAGCCAGGCACGGTGTTGCATGCCTGTAGTCCCAGCTACTCAGGAGGCTGAGGCAGGAGAATTGCTTGAACCCGAGAGGCAGAGGTTGCAGTAAGTCGAGATCATACCACTGCACTCCAGCCTGGGCAAGAGGGCGAAACTCTGTCTCAAAAAACAAACAAACGAAAAATTCAAACAGTGGCTAAATTGTTCAGATAAATCTCCATAAGGCCAGAATCCACACTCTTAGACTGGCACAAAGGAACTTGAAGAGATCTATAGCTTAAGACTAGACAGGGAAACAGTGGGAACGTAACTAGCGGTGTTAGCATCATAGGAGTCAGGGACTCCCAGGTTGATGCTGAGGCATTCCGGTGTGGAAGAGTTGGAACTCTAAGGAGTCATGACTTGGAATGGGAAGGTTGCTGGCATGGTACTGAAGTGTACTCAAAGTACCAACCAGTTCGGTAGAGACTTGTTAAGCTGGAGAGGATACGCTGCTCTAGTTATAGCTCAGCTGATGAGGCAGCCATAGACAAACAGTGCAGGTGTATATAGCTTTCTTTTTTACTTCTTAAGACTTTTGAACACAATAAATACCTCACATTTTTCTTGTAATTTTAATAATTACAGTAATATAGAGAGCATATATATCAGACTATAACTGTCATAGTAGCATTATAGGGAAATACATTCATTGAGCCCTTACTGGGATATAAAACATAGCCTTAAAGAGTGAAAAGAAAATCCTTTTAACCATCAGGTTGGAGCACTAGCCATTTTATTCTGCCCTGGCTGCCGCAAACCTTACATTTAGTCTTCATTGCCATCAGTGTTTCCAGGCCTGGGGGTTGTATGAGAAAGGCCCACACAGCACAGAATCACCCCCAGCCTCTCCGCCTCCTTCCATTCTCTGTCTTTCCTTTTAAGGTCTTATGTCCCAAAGCTTATCAGTTCCAAGTTCGATTAGACCTCTGGTCAGTCTAAGATAGCTTGGCCGCCAAATGAATTCTAAACCCGCCTTCAAGACTGCCAGAGAGGATGGCTGGACAGGGATTGAGTTTGCAGAGGGACCTGGACTTGTTTCCTGTCCCTGCTTAGGGGGTTGCCTAGCCAGTGCCTGGCATCATGAACATCCTTTGGCTCTCAAATGCTTTTTGATTCTGCACACTGCTGTGTAATCGCTCTGGGACTCACTCACACATGGCCTCGTGCTGACGGAAACTGTTTGGCAAGAGTGGGTCTGGGCTGTGTCAGCTCAATCATGGCTTCAGGCCAAACTAGTCAACTGTAGTCGGGAGACCCCTTTTTCTTAGACATAATGTAGGTTTGTCAGGGTATATTTCACAAGATTGCCTTGGCTGCTGGGGTAAGGATCCCCAGCTCAGGTTTCCTCACCCACACACCCTCCTGAAAGGCTTAACACTCAAGCCGCATGCTGGAGCTGAAATCCCTCACCGTTGCCTTGCCAGGCTGCCCCCAGTTTTTGTTCCCCCATGTGGGAAGAGAGAGGCATCCATTTCAGAACTGCAGGGGATGCTTTTTGCAGATGAGTGGGCCTGGGGTGCATTCTGTATCCTGGAACAGAAATAAGCTAACTGGCGCATAAGGTGATTCAACACATGATGTTAGCCCCGTTAGGAGTGTGATGTCATAGAAGAGAAAAAATTAGAGTAGCTAGCTTTATCAAGCACATACCATGTACCACACATTGTGCTGGGTACTTTGTAAACATTATTTCATTCAGTCCTCCCAAGGTTGGTGTTAGCATCCCTTTTCATAGATGGAGGAGTCCGTGATGCTCCAAGAGGTTAAGCAACTTGCTCTTTTCCCTTCTTGTACTCGGCTAGCTGACTGCAGACCTTTTCATGCAGGCCTCTCCTATAATTGTGTTATAGAACTAAATAGAATCCAAGGGTTCTGTGCTTTTATTGAATAATCAGTTCTTGTTGAGTTGATACACTTTTAACTTATTAATTTGTGCATTAAAAAAAGGTGAAAGCTATTTTCTTGTAAACCAAAGCGAGTAAGATATTTAATTGAATTTTTTTTTCTGAATTTGTTTTCAGGTGTGGTTTGTTTTTAATTAACAGACTTGATTCTGTTTTAGGACTGTTTTTTAGGTTTATAGTTTTAGGTTAACAGAAAGTGCAGAAGTCCCATATACCACTACTCCCAAACAGTTTCCCCTCCTATTAACATCGTTCATGTGTGTGTTATATTTGTTACAATTCATGAGCCAATATTGATGCATAATTATGCATGGAAGCCCGCAGTTTATATCAGGGTTCACTCTTGTACATTCTGTAGGTTTTGAGAAATGCAAAGTGACAGGTATCTACTATTACAGTACCATGCAGAATAGTTTTACTGCCCTAAATAGCTCCTATTCTGCACCTAGTCATCCGCTGTCCCTCCCCACCACTGATGTTTTTACTGTCTCCATAGTTATGCCTTTCACTTAAATGTTTTTAATCGTATCAATGTCCTAGAATCTCTGACTGTTTTGCAGATTTCTTCTTAACCTCCTCTTATTTATCCCAACCCCACCCAGACCCCCCACAATCATACCTAATTATGACAGTTTATATGGGCTGGAAATTTCACAGTTATCATTAATGATGGCTTAGCTTGAGATTTTTCCCCCTTTCTGGATCTTTAGTATTTGATTTTTAAATTTGCTAATAGAAATATTTACTTTCCCTCGGTTTCCAGTTTTTGTTTTTTCATTTTCTCCCTTTTAAATGTAAGAGAGGAGGGAGGTGCTATTTCAGTATTTCCTCATGAGGATTCACTGAAATAACTATGTGCAGTGTGTTGTTTTTAATAGTGTTACTACCGATGTGGCAATGGCAGAGAAACTCAAGAGAAAGCTGCTGGCTCAGCCTCATAAATTCAGAGGTGAGGGGTTAGGCAACAAGGATGCTTGCCATTGAATGATACCGATCAGATATATGAAGCTGTTGGAATCAGGGACTCCTGCTGGCCGACTGAAGCTGCAGTCTTCCGTGAACTCGCCTTCTCCTCCTTGCCTCCTGCCCACCACCTTTTATTTTATTTATTTATTTTGCATTATCATCTAAAGTCCATGAAAGGCAGAATGGAAAGTTCTGTTTCCGTGGCAGTGGAAGAACTATAGCATAAACATCTATATTTGTTCTCTTGCGCCTTTTCCCCCCATGTGGTAGGACCATCTGAAAGTAGCTCAATTATTTATTGCCTTGTTCCAAGGGAGAGGGGAAATACAGACCACTAGACGCTGTGCCGGAGAGAGACAGAAAAGTGTTCTCTGCTTTGGGGAAGGGGGTTTTACAAACGTTAACAATGTGGTTCAGAATCACTAAAGTTGTTTTAGCATAATACTATGAGGAAGGAGACAAGAACCATCTGTTGAAATGGCTCTTACATGATGCTGCATTTTCAAACAAAGCCTTTTCGAGGCATTTTTAGATTGGTCTCTTTCCCTTGAAGTTGCTACCAAGAGAGCCCACTCTACTAGCTGCTGAATGATGCTGCTTAGATAGCCGTCTCTGTCAGCACCCACTCTTTTGTTTATTTTGCACCAGTGTTTTCCTCAAAGTATGAGCTCTAAGGCTGTCAAATCTCACTCCTGGTATGAACCCAGAAAGTTCTGAAAAATCCACTACTTCTGCCCATTTCCTTCCAAATTGCTGACTCTATTTTAGTTGAAGTTAGTGGAGTGACTCCGAAACCTTAACTACTTCACTGGGAAGGAGGAAAACCACAAATACA